GATATATTTTTTAAACTTTTTCCCTTTCAGGTTTCTCAACCATTTACATTCAGCTATTTACATCTTCTGGCCATACGTCATCTACCCATCAATGTTTTCCTGGCCCACCTACATTTCTAGCCTCAACATCTTCTCAGTTATCTTGTTTCTAGCCCCCTTGCATCCAGCATCTCTTTTCTCAGCTATCTACACTTTTTAAAAACAACATTTCTCAGTTATCAGTTTTCTACCACCTATTCTTAGTTATGTAAATATTCACCATCAAATTCTTCTCAGTCATTACATCTTCTCAGTGTCTATGTTTCTAGATTTTTTGTTTTCTCAGCATCTACATTTTTTTCACAAGTAGAGCAATATTTTATTGATCCAGCTTTTTAACCCTATTTTTCCCACCAAAAAAAGTTAAAAAATTTAAAATAAATTTGCAGTGGCTATATAAATATACTGTTATATTGTACTGTGTATTAGGCGCAAACCTGTTTTGTGGTGTCCAGTTGTCTTCAGTAAGGGCCCCGTCACTTTTTTAAAAAAGACAACTGGAAAGAAATGATATTAATCTCAAAATTTTGAGAGTTGTGGACAAGGGTATTTGTACACCTTTCCCCCAAATTAATCCATTAAAAAAGATATTTCACTATACATAAAATTTTAAAGTAACAGCAGAAAAAATTTTGTACACAAATAAAAAAAAAAAAGTAATATGGTAATTCCCAATAGACTACAGTAGCCCGAGTGATTTAACAATAAATTTAAAAGTTTAAAGAAATGCGCAAAAATTGGTTAAAATTCTTTTAAAAGGAAATGTTTATTTAATAAAACACCTGTATAAAAAATTTTCAAGAGAATACGCATTTCATTAATATCAAGAAAATAAAAAATTCAGTGGAAGACATTATTAGAATATTAGGAGTGAATGGAGACAAATGGTTTTTAATACTTGACGTGCTGTTGGAGTGTGAGCAAAGTAACATTTATGAAGGGATTCAGGGAAACCGGCAGGCCGGACTTGAGTCCTGGAGATGGGAAGTACAGTGCCTGCACTCTGAAGGAGGGGTGTTAATGTTGCAGTTTAAAAACTGTAGTGTAAAGCACCCTTCTGGCAAGACAGTGATGGAGTGAATGATGGTGAAAGTTTTTCTTTTTCGGGCCACCCTGCCTTGGTGGGAATCGGCCAGTGTGATAATAAATAATAATAATAAATAAGTAGAGTAACTTAGTATTGTACATTATCATAATTTTATTGTAAACATTCCTGTGCTTTAAACAGCAATGTAACTACTCAAGCTGTATTCCTACAACTAATGATAATGTTTTTTGACTGATAATAAAGAGTGAATAAGTGTTTAAACAAGAAAGTTGTGTAGTGGAAGCACAGTGTTTCAATTAAGGTTCTGCTGTGACACTCACTACTCAAGTAAATTGCACTTTGTAGAAATTAACCCACACCTTGCCAGATAAGCCAAAATAATGTTTACTTGGCTAATAAAATAAAGGAAGATTTATGAGCTAGTTTCTTGTCAGTTGATGCCCCTGTTATATTATCATATTATCAACAAGGCAGTAATATCTTGAGAGAAAGGAAATGAAGGTATCTCATTTTCTCTACGGATTCTGACTTTGGTTTGAACCAAAGCACTTGGTGTTACTTTCTCTCCTATTTAACATGACATTATTGACCCCTTAGGCATAGTTCAGACAAAATAATGTACACACAATTCAGGTATGATTAAGAATTAGATTACAGTAGTATCCCACAATACAACTGGGAACCAAAGCCATAATCAGTAGCTCTCTCCATCTCCAAGACACAACCTTGCATGTGATTTTATAACAGTATTACTATAGTTTTCTTGGTTATTACTGACTCAAACGCATTTTTTTTAGTTATGTTTCTTTAATACAGGACAAGTTCTATATATATTTTTTTTAACACGTCGGCAGTTTCTTACCAAGACAGGGTGACCCAAAAGAAAGAAAAACCCAAAAGAAAGAAAAAAAACTTTCATTATCAGTACAGTGGTCCCTCGTTTATCATCGTTAATCAGTTCCTGAAAGTGTGACGATTATCAAAATAGACGATTTTCGAATAAATTTTCCCCATAAGAAATATTGTAAATACAATTAATCCGTTCCTGACACCCAGACGTATTAAAACCAAAAAATTTTTACATGAAATATAGATGTAGTACATAAACAATACAATGGGACATGATGAATGAAACATTAACATCATAACACTTCCCTTTATTGGCGATTCTTCTTAGTGTAGGAAGACTGGAGGAGGAGAGAGATTGCATTAGTTTCTGTTTGGAAAGGGAATCCAGTTCCATCAACACCTCAGGTACCAAGTCCTTTTCTGGGGATACTTCTCTTCTCTGTTTCTTAATGCCACTAGGACCAGCTTGAGAGTCACTGGAGTCCTGTCTCGCAAAAAAAGTGTCCAGAGAGCTCTGTTTCTGGCGTCTCTTTAAAACTTCCCTAAAATGGGACAAAACTCTGTCACTGTACAAGTTGGCTTGCAACATCCTTCTCAAGGTGATGTTTCTCCATAAATCTTTCCATCCTACCCTACATTTTAAAAATCTCCTTAATTTCTGAAGAAGGCACCTTCTTCCATCTCTCTTCCTCCTCCTCTGCAGCAAGATTCTGAGCTGCGATCTGTTGCTGTTCCTGCTGAAGCTCTTGCAGCTCCTCAGTGGTCCTCCACCAACTCTTCCACGTCCTCCAAACTCACATCCAACCCCATGGAACTCCCCAATGCCACAATAGAGTTCACAACTGACATAGGCTCATCAGGGTCAGCCACAAACCCTTCAAAATTCCTCTTGTGGACACAATCTGGCCACAATTTTCTCCATGTAGAGTTCAAAGTCCTGATAGTCACTCCCTCCCAAGCCTTACCTACAAGGAAACTGAAGTGTTCTTTCCAAAACTCTCATAGGGTCAAGTGAGTGTCTGAGGTCACATTAAAGCACCTTTGAAACATTGCTTTGGTGTAGAGTTTTTTAAAGTTTGAAATGACCTGCTGGTCCATGAGATGGAGGAGAGGAGTGGGATTCAGAGGCAAGAACTTTACTGTGATAAACCCAAACTCCTGCAGAATTAGGTCATCCAAGTTTGGAGGATGAGCAGGTGCATTGTCCATTACTAGGAGGCACTTGAGATCCAATTTCTTTTCCAGGAGGTAATTCTTCACACTAGGGCCAAACACTTCATTGAACCACTCAACGAAAATTTCCCTCGTGACCCATGCCTTATTATTATATCTCCAAAACACACACAATTTACTCTTCATAACATTGTTTTTCCTGAACACTCTGGGATTTTCAGAATGGTACACTAGTAACGGCTTCACTTTGAAATTCCCACTAGCATTAGCACAGAACACGAGCGTCAGCCTGTCCTTCATAGGCTTGTGTCCTGGCAGTCCCTTTTCCTCCTGAGTAATGTAGGTCCTCTTTTGCATTTTCTTCCAAAAGAGGCCTGTTTCATCACACTTGTTCAGGTTTCAGTCCTTCAGCCTCTATGTACTCCTTGAATTCCTTTACGAATTTTGTAGCTGCAATTTTGTCCGAACTGGCAGCCTCACCATGTCTTATCACACTGTGTATGCCATTATGGTTCTTAAATCTCTCAAACCAACCTTTGCTGACCTTAAATTCACAAATATCAGTACTCGTTACAGGAAATTTCTTTACCAGATCGTCATGCAACTGCCTAACCTTTTCACAAATAATCGACGTCATAAGACTATCTCCTGCTAATTGTTTCTCGTTTATTCACACCAATAATAACTTTTCAACCTCGTCGAGTACTGGTGATCTCATTTTTGTCAGCACATTTACCCCCTTTGCAACAACAGCTTCCTTGATTTCCTTTTTCTTGGCCACGATGGAAGATATGGTTGTACAGGATTTGTTATACATCCTGGCCAGTTCGGCCACATGTATGCCACTTTCATATTGTTCAATGATGTTTTTCTTAAATTCAATCGTATTTCTCAGCTTCTTTACCAAAGGCTTGGCACTAGGAGCTTTCTTTGGAGCCTTGGTAGCTTATTTAGTACTTGCAAGCACTAAAATCAATGGAATATTATGAAATACAGTATTTCGTTTGAACAAGTGAGGGGACCGTCGCTCACTGGTAAACAATGGCACACTGGCTGGGAAGGGAGGCCGAGGCGGCTCAGAGCCATGAGTATGTGTCCAGGACGAACGACGATTAGCAAGTCAACCGACCATTTCCGAGCCAATGTTTGCACGAAAATAAGGCGACAATTTCCAAAAAGGACGACTATCGAGCCTGAGGGACCACTGTAATCACTTTCACCATCACTCATACATAATCACTGTCTTTGCAGAGGCACCCAGATACGACAGTTCAGATAGTCACTCTAAACTGCCAATATCCCAAACCTCTTCTTTAAAGTGCAGGCATTGCCCTTCCCATTTCCAGGACTCAAGTCCAGCTAACCAGTTTCCCTTAATCCCTTCACAAAATATTACCCTGCTCACACTCCAACAGTCTGTCAAGTCCCAAAAACCATTCATCTCAATTCACTCCTATCTAACATGCTCACACATGCTTGCTGGAAATCCAAGCTCCTTGCCCACAAAACCTCCTTTACCCCCTCCCTCCAGCCTTTTCGAGGACAACCCCTACCCTGCCTTCCTTTCTCTAAATGTCTGACATAATTTGGAAAGGAAATGTGACTTTTACTTGGCCTAGGAGGCCTACATCAACCCTCCCCACATTCTTCAAATGCTTCAAGTGGTGACTAATAGAATGCAAGATAACCTGTATTATTTCTGATATATTAGGAGATTTAAAAAAAAATTTGGCATTTTTAGTGCTCTTCAATGTAATCATCCTATTTTTTCCATATGTTCTTTGATTCAGTTAGTGCTAAATTAGATTACATGCCAATTTTCAGGATTGTAACCCTCATATTATTTGATGTTCTACTATACAAGTAGATAAGAACTAGTAAACTTGCTCACCATCTCTGACAGGCCACGAGTCATCATTGAAGCACACAGTGAGGGTATGTAGCAGGTCTGGTACATGGGCACGCACAGCCTCAGTTGAAATTTTAAGAGCCAACTCAGCTATACATGCACACGCTGCTTCACGCACTGCATGGTTATCTGCTTCTGTAGCTTCTATGTAGTAGCTTACCTGTATAATATTGTATGAGTAATTACTTATGCTATTAATGATATGTTTAAAAGACAATATTCAAAATAAAGTTCCTAATAAAGGCAAAGCAACTGATCAACAAACAAAGAGAGATAGTAGAGGGCAACGAGTGACTAGCTCCCTTAAGGTTTACTATACAAATAGTAGGAGTCTATGAAATAAGTTAGATGAGCTAAGATTACTCGCAAGTGCAGGTAATATCGATATTATTGTTATAACTGAGACCTAGTTCAACTTGAAGGGATATAAACTATTCCACACTGATAGGGTTAACCGGAAGGGTGGTGGAGTGGTGATGTATGTCAGAGATAATTTAAATTGTTGTGTTAGACATGATATAAGATTAGAAACATTGGACACAGAATCTGTTTGGCTACAGTTTCTCGAGGGGCATGAAAAATTAATTTTGGGTGTGATATATAGGCCCCCAATCCTTGATAGGGAGCGCAGTAAGCTGCTATGGGACGAAATTCATAAGGCGTCTAGATATGAAAATGTTGTGTCAGTGGGAGATTTTAACTTTAGACAAATTTATTGGAACAATTTGACAGGAAATCTTGAGTCTAGCGACTTTCTTGATACAGTTCAGGATTGGCTTTTAAAACAGTTTGAGACAGAACCAACTACAGGAAACAATCTGCTTGACTTGGTTCTTGCCAATAAAGATTCACTAATTAATAATCTTGAGGTTAATGATGAGCTTGGGGAAAGTGATCACAAATCATTTAGTTTCAATATATTATGGAATTACCCAGTAAACTGCAATCAAGTCTCTGTCCCAGACTTCCGCTTGGTCGATTTCATGGGACTGAAAAATTACCTGGGTGGGCTCAATTGGGATGATCTGACTATGGGTCAGGTAACTGGTGTTGGTTGCCAATATGACGTTTTTCAGAGCATAGTTCTAGCTGCTCAGTCAACTTTTGTCCCGAGTAGGGAAATTAGATCTAACAAAAATGATCCCAAATGGATGAACAATAGATTAAAACATCTCATTGGTCAAAAGAGAGGCATTTTTAGGCGTATCAAAAGAGGGGATGGGCAGTTAAGAAATCAATATATTCAATTTAAGAAAGAAAGAAAAAAAGGAATAAGAAAAGCAAAAAGGGACTATGAGGCTAAGGTCACAGGGGATTCAAAGACTAACCCAAAAGGGTTCTTTCAGGTATACAGTAGTAAGATTAGAGACAAGATAGGCCCACTTAAGGGAAGGGCAAGCAGAATCACCCACTTTTTTTTTTCTTATCAGATTTCAATGCAATTGTGACAGGGGATTAAGCAGCTTAAAAAAATATATATAGACTGTGTTTGTTTTGACTGTTAGCCTTCAAGTTAGATAGAAAAAAAATTATTTTTGCATAATTTTATGGGTCCTAGGACTTTCCTCTGTCTACTAAATTGAGAAGATATACAATGCTCTAGTTGACATCAGATGAAAGATAAAGGCTTGATTAATCCTTTCAGGGTCGACAGGCCCTCTCAGAGACTTGTTCACAGGGTCCCCCAAATTTAAAAAAAAAAAATTATTTTTTCTTATGAAAAGATAGAGAATCTTTTCCCGATCATAATGACACCAAAAGTATGAAATTTGATGGAAAACTTACGGAATTATGCTCTCATGAAGTTAGCGGTCTCGACGATGTTTACGCATCGGCGATTTTGCCCACTTTGAGCCCTATTTTCGGCCAATTCCAGTGCACTTGTCGACAAAAATCATAACTATTTTGCTAGAACTCCATTTTTTTCTATCGAATAAGTACAAGAAACCACCCATTTACCGATTTCAACTATCCAATACAGTGGTCAAAATTTAGCAATTTTGCCAATTTCACACAAATTCCAAAAGATGCCAATTTCCAAATAGAGTCCAGAATAAACAAGAAAGACATTCCTGGCACTAAAATAACATTTCCTCTGTTCATTAGTCACGTCCCCATGCCCCTCTTACATTCTTTTGCTTTCCACTTTGAATTTTTATTCTCACAAAAAATAGAAGATTTACTGTTACGCAGACTATTGCATTGGTTTAGAAATGGTATAAATATTATCAGCGCACTTGTGAAAGAATATTAGACTCACCAGTTGACGAGTATTGGACGCACAGCATGATTTGTTTACTTTTGAACTTTGGTAAAAATCGAACATTTCTGCTACTTTGAGCGCAATTTCAAGGTAGTTTTCTTTGTAAAACCAGTCAGGAATACATCAATAAATACCATATGAAAATACAGTGCAAAGTCGCTGTTTTAATCCAAAAACACGGTCAAAGTTTTTTTTTCTCATTACGCACTGTGTTCTGCAGGATTTTTTTTATACCGCGCACACTGACCACATACACCCATTCTTTCATATGTAGGCCTACCAGCTTTCTCTCACTAGATTTAAGGGCGCTAAAATTTAGGCGTACTAGGACGTCAAAAACCCTGGTGCATAAGCCGTACTAGTACGGCCGAAACCCTGAAAGGGTTAATAATGACCCAGGGCAGTTTAGCGATAATGTCAGTAGATTCTATAAAACAAAAATGCTGAAGTTAGTACGTAATTGTGTTTTTATTGTTTTTTGTGTACAAAAAAATAATTAAAAACAGAGCTGTAAACAGTATCACAAATCCACTCTGGGTGTTTGTAGAACCATCATTCCTCAATAACGTCTGGAAAAATCATGACAATCCTATTAATATTTATCGCAGGAGAGGGATTACAGTGTCAATAACTTATTTCCAATTTATTATTGATTTTGTTTGTTGTGAAACTCTACGGTTACCGCCTGTCAAATCTGAGCGTGTTGCACCCCTCCTTGTTGACAGCCTGCCGGCTACTGAGGCAGACACTCACTGCGCTCCACGTTCTAGCCAGCACAGAAGATGCCAAGTAGAGTATTTACAATGAAACAATTACACAAATCGTAATTTTTTGGAAAAAAAAAACACTAATTGCCAACATGTATTTTTGCTGACAGCAGCAACAAAAAAATACATTTAACGAAAAACATACTTAGAAATACGACAGAAACAAGTAGATTACATCAAAATGTTGCCAGAATTTTGTACTAATTTTCAGTAAAAAAAATTTTCCATAGTTTTTCAATTTTAACTTCCTGAAACTGGAAAAAGGCTCACCCCTGCCTTAAGAGTAGCTCAGGTCAGATCACTGACAGTGATAAGGATATGTGTTAAATTTTCAATTTTTACTTCCTCTCAGTTTTTACTCAGGAAGATACTAGTGAAATTCCAGAAATAATAAATTATGTAGAACAGGACAATAACAAATTATGCACGATTGCAGTAACTAGTAACATGGTCCTCAGACAAATGGAGAAATTAAAACCTAGCAAATCCCCAGGCCCTGATGAATTGTTTGCAAGGGTTTTAAAGGAATGTAAAGAGGAACTCGGCAAACCTTTGGCTAATCTTTTCAACATATCACTACAAATTGCCATAGTACCTGATAAGTGGAAAATGGCAAATTATTTTATTTATTTTATTAACACACTGGCCGATTCCCACCAAGGCAGGGTGGCCCGAAAAAGAAAAACTTTCACCATTATTCACTCCATCACTGTCTTGCCAGAAGGGTGCTTTACACTACAGTTTTTAAACTGCAACATTAACACCCCTCCTTCAGAGTGCAGGCACTGTACTTCCCATCTCCAGGACTCAAGTCCGGCCTGCCGGTTTCCCTGAATCCCTTCATAAATGTTACTTTGCTCACACTCCAACACCACGTCAAGTATTAAAAACCATTTGTCTCCATTCACTCCTATCAAACACGCTCACGCATGCCTGCTGGAAGTCCAAGCCCCTCGCACACAAACCTCCTTTACCCCCTCCCTCCAACCTTTCCTAGGCCGACCCCGACCCCGCCTTCCTTCCACTACAGACTGATACACTCTTGAAGTCATTCTGTTTCGCTCCATTTTCTCTACATGTCCGAACCACCTCAACAACCCTTCCTCAGCCCTCTGGACAACAGTTTTGGTAATCCCGCACCTCCTCCTAACTTCCAAACTACGAATTCTCTGCATTATATTCACACCACACATTGCCCTCAGACATGACATCTCCACTGCCTCCAGCCTTCTCCTCGCTGCAACATTCATCACCCACGCTTCACACCCATATAAGAGCGTTGATAAAAAATATACTCTCATACATTCCCCTCTTTGCCTCCAAGGACAAAGTTCTTTGTCTCCACAGACTCCTAAGTGCACCACTCACTCTTTTTCCCTCATCAATTCTATGATTCACCTCATCTTTCATAGCCCCATCCGCTGACACGTCCACTCCCAAATATCTGAATACGTTCACCTCCTCCATACTCTCTCCCTCCAATCTGATATCCAATCTTTCATCACCTAATCTTTTTGTTATCCTCATAACCTTACTCTTTTCTGTATTCACCTTTAATTTTCTTCTTTTGCACACCCTACCAAATTCATCCACAAATCTCTGCAACTTCTCTTCAGAATCTCCCAAGAGCACAGTGTCATCAGCAAAGAGCAGCTGTGACAACTCTCACTTTGTGTGTGTGATTCTTTATCTTTTAACTCCACGCCTCTTGCCAAGACCCTCGCATTTACTTCTCTTACAACCCCATCTATAAATATATTAAACAACCATGGTGACATCACACATCCTTGTCTAAGGCCTACTTTTACTGGGAAAAAATTTCCCTCTTTCCTACATACTCTAACTTGAGCCTCACTATCCTCGTAAAAACTCTTCACTGCTTTCAGTAACCTACCTCCTACACCATACACTTGCAACATCTGCCACACTGCCCCCTTATCCACCCTGTCATACGCATTTTCCAAATCCATAAATGCCACAAAGACCTCTTTAGCCTTATCTAAATACTGTTTACTTATATGTTTCACTGTAAACACCTGGTCCACACACCCCCTACCTTTCCTAAAGCCTCCTTGTTCATCTGCTATCCTATTCTCCATCTTACTCTTAATTCTTTCAATTATAACTCTA